TTTTGATATTAACAAGGTAAACAACTTATGGAGCTACTGTCCCTCCACTTGTTGAATGGTCTTTTTATTAACTCTGCAGGAATCTTAAAATGCAAAGCTCAATTCTAAGGTTTTATTCAGTTTTCAATTCACTGAGGTGCTCTATAAAGGAAATAGTCCTAGACATCTTTTCCAGGTAATACAAAGACAAAAGTTAATATAGCAACCTTCCAAATTACAGCTTGGCCTCTACAGAATTCCATGTTTTGTTACCCAACAGCTTTCACCGTTATGCAGAGATTCAAATGGATGATTACAAAATTACTGATTTAATCAATGTCAGAAAAACACACACCAAAAAATCAAGTGAGAGGGCCACCCACACTCATGATTCCTTTTACAAACGAGATGCAAATAATAAATCTGAGATACATGGACTTTTGCAGAGGAAAAGTTTTCAGATTAAAAAATACAAATGTTCTAGTTCAAGAGTCTTGTTACACATGGCAAGTCATGGTTCTCCATTTAATCTTTTTTAAAAGTCAATAATGTGTCCTGAGCAACTGTGCTAAGTTGCATTCTTATTGCTGTACCAGATTTTTTGTTATTACTGTTCAAAACAAAAACTGTTAATGTTGATGGAAAATTAGTGCAGGTCAAGAAAAAAATAAATCACACCTGGAATTTCTTAATGGGAAAAGGCTCTGCGACTTCTATCATATGGGGCAGCTCTAGAAGTTTCCCAGTTCTCTCCTCATCACTTATCTTTGTTCTTGTTAAGGTGGGAGAGAAGGTCAAAACTCTGTCTTCAATGTTGCCTAATATTATTTGGAAAAACCATCCAACTAAATTGGCCTGGAAAGAGGAAGAAAGGTAAGAAACCCCACAAGGGAACTATGGCTAAGATGAAGCAGAGATGGAGAAGGGAAAGGGAAAGCTCATGATGTGCTCTGTACTTTTGGGCAGTGTTTCCCAACCTTGTGCCTCCAGATGTTTTTGGCCTACAACTCCCATCATCCCTGACTAGCAAGACCAGTGGCAAGGGATGATGGGAATTGTAGGCCAAAAACAGCTGGAGGCACAAGGTTGGGAAACACTGCTTTTGGGGAGAGAAGTGGCACCTTGAATTGATGAAACAATGGCCCTCACTGCAAATACCCTCTGCTGCACATGGTGTTTTTTTCTATCTCCCTCATGCATCACCCCCAAATCAACGAGTTTCAATCTCTTGGATCAAACATTGGTATCCAATACGCACAGCCTTTTTGTATTAGCTAACCAGCTACAGGAATTTTGAGTTGTCAATCTAAGTAAGAACAACTTTTTGCAAGCCACTACCAGCAGATCTCTTGCAAAGATGATATCATTGTACATGAAAAGCAATGGGCACTGCATCATCCTTACTCATCATCATTTTATTCATCATGCAAGAGCTTAGTAGAGGAGAAAGCCAGTGGCCAAAACTAGTTTCAAAATACGCTGGTTGGATAGGAAAAGAAAAGAAACCAATTTGGTCTAAAATATCCAGAGGAGCTGAACAAATGAATCACTGTAAATTCTGTGAAGCATTTATGACTTAAGCCATATCAACATATCTGGGGTACAATATGTTTCTCACCACAGGCGTGGCCATGGCAAAAGACTAAAATGCTTCTTCGCAGATGATGTGTTTCCCAGCCCCAACATCACATCATTGGCTACTGTTGAAAGGAAATATAAAGCATAGAAATAGGGACCATTAATGTATGCTGCCATGTGGTGTGGGGAAGAATTCAACATGGAGACGCCAATTTTCACAGCAGCTCTGTATCTTTCACAACAGCTGCATCTTCATGAAACAGGAAACCATGGTTTAGCACTACATGTATGAGCAGAAAGGCAGCCACTCTCTTGTCTTACTGGTCAGCTGTGAATCCTGACATAAACCAGGGATTATAGTTCAAAGCAAACTCTGGTCAGTCTCAAAACAAGATAACTTCAAACATTGGCTATAAGAAGCTGACATGTTAAACTAAGCAGGGTTTGTTTTAAACCTCAATTCTAGGTTCATTTTTTAAAAAATTTAAGTTGTATATCGCTTAATTGTAAATAAAACGTTTAAGCGGTTTGCAAAGCATATAAAATATGCATTTTAAATCACACACGTTAAAAACAAGTTTCAAGAACCAGAACATAAATAAAACTCTTAAAACTACATTATAGGCTAAAGTTACAGATTAAAACACATCAACTTCACATGTCTGGGTAGGCTTGCCTAAACAAGGAAGTTTTTAGCCGGCGCCTCAAAGAATACAGCGAAGGGGCCTGCCTAATGTCAATGGGCAGAGAGTTTCAGAGTCAAGATCTGCCACATTAAAAGATCCATTTCTTACAAGAGTGGAACAAACATTATGGGGCAGAAGTGCAAGTTCCACAGATTGAAGTGGGTATATAAGGGATAAGGTGATCCTTTGAGTAAACTGGTTCTAAGCTGCTCAGCGATTTATATATTAAGAGCAACACCATGACTTTAGCCCACTAACAAAATGGCAAGCAGTGCAGATCTCTGAGCAGGGGTGCTATACGCTGACAGGATCCCATGCCTGTCTCAACCCTGCTGCAGCATTCTGCACTAACTGCAGTTTCCAAACCAAACTGCATATGGAGTGTGTTGTAGTGATCCAGTCTCAAAGTCACCAAAATGTGAACTACTGTGGCTGAGCTCTCCTGGGCCAGGGGTGGTCATAGCTGTCACCCCAGCTGGAGCTGATAGAAAGCATATCTAGCTACATGCCTCTAGTGAATAAGCTGGATACAGAAGGGCCCTCAAGCTGCATACCTGCTCCTTCAGAGGGGAGTGCAACCTGTTCAGGGCAGGCAATTGGCCAGTTTCTCAGACATGGGAAGCACTCAGCCCAAGAGCCTCTGTAAGGCCAGGATTCAAGTTCAGTTTATTTCTCCTCATCCATCTCATCACTGCATCTTGGCCCAGGGGCATAGGAAAGGGGGAGCGGGCCGCCCCAGGTGCCATTATGAAGGGGGGTGACAAATTATCAAGGAACAATTACTGCCCTACTAGGGCGGTTCATAAAAAACTTTTTTTTTAAAAAAAAAGCCTGCTCCAAAGGTCCTCTTACTACACTAGGGATTACATAGCTACATATGAAATTTCATGCATATCAGTTAATATCTTGACCCACCTCCACGAAAATAGCTGTTTACTTGACCTATGTCGTGAAGGCTGAAATTTCAACAAAGCATGTGCCTTTGCTATACTTTTTTCGGGCACCTGCTGAAAGCATTATTCTTTAGGCAAGCATAACTAGATGCTTAGGAAGCTGAAGTAATTTTAATCTTAATATTTTAGCTTTTGTATGTTTTAAAGTAGAATTGTTAATTTTTCTTGATTTTACTACTGGTGTTTTTTTGTTTTTTGTTTAGGTAAACCACTTTGCAGGTTTTTTAAAATAAATTTTATTAAATATATAAACAATAAATATAAATAAAATAACACAAGCCAAAACACAATCCATCCTGTAGATTTAAGTATCTGTCCATAGTCGCCTACTTGTTATCAGAGGCTCAGAATCCACATTCCTTTGTAAGAAAATATGAAATAATGTAAAACCATTTTTGCAGGCAAAAAAATAAATCAATGTGTGTGTGTGTGTGTGGGGGGGTGACAAGAAATGTTCTGCACCGGGTACCACTGACCTTCCTATGCCTCTGTCTAGGCCAGGGCCCACATGGCCTTTTCTGATGCAGATGTTATGGAGAAACAGAGCCGAGTGTTATAAGCATAGGTAAAGGTAAAGAGGCCCCTGATCATTAGGTCCAGTCGTGGCTGACTCTGGGGTTGCGGCGCTCATCTCACTTTATTGGCCGAGGGAGCCGGTGTACAGCTTCCGGGTCATGTGGCCAGCATGACTAAGCCGCTTCTGGCGAACCAGAGCAGCGCACGGAAACACCGTTTACCTTCCCGCCGGAGCGGTACCTATTGATCTACTTGCACTTTGACGTGCTTTCGAACTGCTAGGTTGACAGGAGCAGAGACTGAGCAACGGGAGCTCACCCCGTTGCAGGAATTTGAACCGCCGACCTTCTGATCGGCAAGCCCTAGGCTCTGTGGTTTAACCTACAGCACTACCCGCGTCCCTATAAGCATACTGATGGCAAATTGCTCCCAAATACCTAATGACTGCACCCAGAGGCTTCATCTAGATATCAAAAAGCATTGGGGATAAAATAGTGCTCTGCATAACTCTCAGGGGCCTGAAAAGCACTCTCCCAATGCTCTTCTCTAGACTTGGTCCTGTAGATCAGACCAGAATTCTTGGAACACCGTGTTCCCCCCACGGAGCTGGTCAATGGTATCAATAGTTCCAGCGAGACCGAAAAGCAGGAACAAGGTCGCACGCTTCCCCTGTCCTACTTCCATATGTAACAAATAGGATTCAGGGGAAATGAAACTAAGCAAAATTTAATACCTTCTCCCAGTCACATGGGAGCAGAAGGAAGGGAATGGAAGCTCAAGTATTTTGTACAGGCCAGTTTCTGCTCACCCACACAGTGCTAAATGTGGTCAACATCTTAATTTATCTTGGTAAAATAATGCAGAGAGTGAAAAAACCCCAAACAGCTCCCAGATCTTCCTATATCTTCCATTTTGCAAATCTTTAAGCTCAGCTACAACTCCTAAAAATGTATTTCAAACATAACAGATGAAGCAGTCCTAAGACAAATGGGTTCCTATGCATTGGGTCAAGACAATTTTTAAATTGCTTTATGGAATATTTGAAATATTGTGTTGTTCTCCTGCTGCTTAGAAACATATAGACTAAGTGTGGTGATTTGACTAAAATAATCTCTTTTGAAACAAACTGTTTGTAGCTCACTTTGTTTGTGCTATTCATAGCTCTTAAAATTTGCATGAGCTGTCATCTGTAAGATGGAAGTAAAAACAAATATTTGTCTCCAGTGATCCACATGCCCACATGATAGATCATGTTGCAATTCTTCTTTATGCCCTAATGCCAAGGATGTGAAGTTATATTCTGAAGTCTCTGATGTTCCTGGCAAAATAGACATGGAATAGAAAAGATGTACTGTCATGTGAGGAAGCTGCCATTTTGAGCAAGGCTTCGTGGTTTGAGACTCTCTTTACTTCAAAACAAAAGGTTGTGTATGGAAGAGGAAGAGAGCTGGGCATACTTGCTGATAGGTAGACTGCATCAACCATACCGATTCTGCTCTTGTGCCTGGTATGCAGTATACAAGGGCGGGAACCAGCAAGAGCTATATAGATCAGTGCAATAGGAACTCGGGAGTCACAAGTTTATTACTGCAACATCCAACATGAATCCAGCACCCTTTCTCAATGGCCTGTGCAAAACTCCACCTGGAGATAATATCAAGTCATTTTCTTGGCATCTTCTTGACATGAGCAGCAAAGGTTGAGTTTCTGATGTGGAGAGCAGGTGGTTTCCTGTGTCTGAGCTCATGTATGTTTGCTCTTCTTGATCTTGCAAAAATAACAGAAACACTGGAAACAGGCTTGGGGTGGTGGGTTTGTGGCGGAGGGGAGAGAGGAGGGACTTTACGTGGCGGCGGGGGGGCGGGGGGGGGGCTTTTCAGCAACAGACATAAAAGGGAATTCTAACTACAAAAAAGTGCAAATAGCAACAGCATTGGTCCCATGACATTCTGAACCCCAGACATAGTGTATTAGCGTCCTTAGAGATGGCAGATCTTGACTGTATGTTTGAGGTTGCATTAAATGCAAGGCCTGTAACAAAACAGGGGGAAGACACTAGTCTGCAGTGTTGCTGTAAATGAAACAGATGAAGAAGAGAATGAAGCATGGCATAAAAATTCATATCAACATAACTGATATGAAAAAAAGAATGTATGAATAAATTTCTATATTTGCAACAAAACAAAACAAAACCATCTCATTTTAAGTCTCTGGAAGTCTTGAGTCACTTTGATTTTCTTTAAAAAAAAAGAAAGTCTTAAAACACATGGCTTTACAAGCTGCTGCTCAGAAAATATACATCCCCAAGTCCGACTTTCATTTAAATACAAATGTACAAAATGTAAACTGAGACAATAGAGAAATTTACAAAACCTTTTCTTTAAAAATAATAAGGACAAAGTTCAGTTCTAGTTATGATGCTATTTTAAATACGTGCAAGTTGTTGGACTCCGATTTCTATTGCAATGTCCTACAGAGACAACGGTGAGTCACGAGACCTCGAGTGCCACCTCCAAAAACAGACCTGAGAGGAAAATTCTTCATGAAAATGGGAGGCTCCACTGGAAGGAACAGTGAGGGGGGGGAATCTCCCTCAATAGGAGACTCGTTGATCTTCTAGCTCAATGTTGGGTGCTCTCTCTTTCTCTCTTTCTCTCTCTCTCTCTCATCCTCGAAGCTCCATACAGTATAGTGAAAGGATGCAAAGTGCAGATTCACAAAAGCCAAGAACTAGCTGCTTCCAGTGGAGTTTGAACTTACATGGTTGGAATTGATATGGTGATTTAAACTGGCCTTTGAGTTTGGAGAAGTCTTGGAATTGTTCTGATGCTGAAAGAGTTAAAAGAGAGTGAAAGAGAGATTGGGGGGGAAAAGTTAAGATTCCCAGAATGTTCTGCATCCATCACATTGGTCTAGAGTTCCCAGGATGAAATGTTATCTGCCAATGATGAGCTGCAAATATTCTGAATCTTGGATCCTTAACAAACCTGTGGTACAAAAGGGGGAAATTGTAGCCTTTTAAACTACTTGTCAAGTTTACATGTCTCCCACAAGCGCCTCTTAGGTTCATAAAATGTTGAGCCCCAGTTTTACGCAAATAATGACTCCAGGTATGTGTGACATTCAGACAGCCAGGGCATGAAGAGAGGTGTTCTTGGTGTCTACTCATTATTGGGCTTCTGCTACAACAGGGATGAAGAACCTGTGGCTTCCAGAGATTTTCCATTTTCCACCAGCTCCAGCCAGCATGGCCAACAGTCAAGAATGTCAGAATCAGTAGTCCGCTAACATCTGGAGGACCACAGGTTCCCCATCCAGGTAAGCCAACGTCCAAGCTTGAGCACTTTTTGTAAGGATTATAAGGACTACCTGATTCAGCTGTGCTTGGATTACGTCAGAAAATTCACTGGATTAAGACAGGGGGAAGTGAAGAATATCAGTGAATTTTATTACAGTGCATTCTGCTCTGCTGGATTCCTCCCCCTTTGAGATGCAAATCTAAACGAACTGCACAATTCCCTGGATTGCCATATAACAAAAGCTGCCTCAGCATCTTCTACTTTGAATGTTTCTGGCTCCTTTCCCCCCTTCTTCCACGTGTTGTTCCATGCCCTTCCTCTCTGCTAAATACCTGAACAATCCCAATGCGGGACACAGCTATAAGCCATGGCCACTCAGTTTCATCTCACCCTCAGTATGAATGGCTCTCAAATCTCCAAGCTCTTACCCCTAGACTTTGCTATTGGCCTCCCTGAACAGTAATGAATAATGGGCGGTATTCAACTAAATGAATGTGCAGGCGGAACAACTTCCGTTTGCGCAGTGGGAACTTCTCCTCCCTGTCGTTCCTGAGGGGCTGGGAGAACCCCCATAACAGTTTTAGGAGGCACATGGGGGGAAGTCCTGTTGTGCAAGTAGAAGTCACTACATATTTATGTTGAATATAAGCTGATCTTTGCTGCAATCCCACTGCAAAGTTGTGTATTTCCTGAAACAAAGGACGGGTCTGCTTAAAATGAGGATCTCATATACACAACCTTGAAAAAGAGCAAGCTACAGTTCTCATTAAGTGAATTCTTCTCTGCTCTTGTTTGCTACTTGTTGCAGAGTGCAGTAGTTTTTATTTGAAAAACACATTATGTTTGTTTCAACAGCGATGGGAAATTTTAAATTCTCTAATGTTACAGCAGGCGCAAATGTTTTTTTCTTTTTCCTTTAATGCACTTTTTGCTCAACTGTATGTCAGAAAGAATGCCTCGATCCAGACTAATGAATATTCATATGCAATGTGAAAATCCATTTCCATTTAGAATGGCTCTTACTCACACAAAGACTCAAGGCTCTCACCTGACGCTTAAATATTCTGTGCAGCAATCCTTTCTTCGGCGGTTCCGGCGGGTAGCTTTTGTTAAGGTCTGGTGAGATAGTACCATTTGGTCCAAACACATTTAGTTCTTTAAAACATTCCGTTTCGATCATCTAGCAAAATGAAAAGAAGAGGGGAATACATGATTGCACCTGCATTTTCTTTTTGGGCTCGGAAGCCTCTTGTTTGAAAATGCTTAGGCAGCCAAAGAAAATTGCAGTCCCTACTCTCCTGCCCAAGGAATGCAAATATTCTCAAAATGTTCCTGTCTCCACCTCCATCGTTTAGGCTGGATCCTGCTCAGAGGGCCTTCTGGTGGTTTCCTATTGTGAGAAGTGAGGTTACAGGGAACCAGGCAGAGGGCCTTCTCAGTAGTCATGCCCACCCTGTGGAACACCCTCCCACCAGATGTCAACAAGATAAACAACCACCCGCACCATCCTAAATCTGTCACTGTCCCAGGGAAGAGGATTCTGTAATGCCACCCTCTTGGAGGCACACACACAGAGGGGCCTCAATTGTTAATCTCCGAGTCTGGGCAGGTTCGTACGGGAAAAGGTGGCCCATGTGGTATTCTGAACCGCACAGGTTTTCAGTCTCAGATTTGCAGACCACCATTCTTTAAAGACAGAAACAGGGAAGCTATTGCTTTTCATATATTGCTAGTCAACAACTCTCATTTTCCCTGACCTCTGGGACACGCTGACTGGGGCTGATGGGAGTCCAGCAATACCTGGAGAACCACAGGTTCTCCACCTCTGCTTTCAAGCATATGCTTTCCATTAGGGGCTGGTAGAGCTGAAGCTGGGTAGTGGGGGTGTTATCTACAATAAATAATCTGTCGGTTTTCTACTCACAGCCCGACTGACTGCCATCTTTGAAGTTAAAACTGGTTTGCGGCCTAGCAGGCACCTCAACTAGCTGACCTTTTCATTCTCTCTCATTCTGGTGGTGCATAAGCAGCAGTCTGCTGTGTGTGAAGTTCAATGGATAACCTTGCAGCTTCAACTCTGCACTCGTTCTGTGTCAAACCGATTGCACAGTTTGATGCTGTGCACAGACTTATGTGAATGTTGTGGTGCACAGGATAGCAACTCTACAGACAGGTGATGAAAGGAAAAGTGGCTGAATGGCTGTGAGGCCAACCTTGGGACTCCGATAGTGTCTAGAGAGGGGCAGCAGTTCTGTCGACTGTCTTGCCATTTATGGGTTCCCACAATGTATTAACAATTTAGTACAATGTGAAATGAATTTGCCTCCATGCTGCCGTGCAGTGGGAAATGTGTTTTATTGGAACAAGTGTTCATTGTTAAACCTCAAACTAGCGCAACAGGGAAGAAGGGAAATGTAACAGAACTCAAAGTGGAATCTTGAAGCCTTTGCAACAAATTACTACCGAACCAATTACCGTATTTTTCGCTCTATAACACGCACCCGACCATAACACGCACACAGTTTTTAGAGGAGGAAAATCCGTAGGCATGCCACCCGTAGGCATTCCCTCCATAACACGCACAGACATTTCCCCTTACTTTCTAGGAGGAAAAAAGTGAGTGTTATGGTGCAAAAAATACGGTAAACCTATTTCCTATAATAAAATGAACCTCACAATGATGGAGAATATTATATGCATAACAGCGTAAACTAAACACAACTGTATGGTCATAGTAGTTTAGTAAATAACCATTCTGGAGATCTCTAAATTGTACTCCATCCTGTCAATTTATGATCCAAAGACTGGTTACATTAGGGATGGCTAACTCTTTGAAGCTTGGGGGCCACATTGAAGGCTGATGAAACCTCTGAGGGCAGCATGCCACTCACATGCTCTCCATATATACTAACCTAGTACACAAGCCCCACTCCCACCCTCATACAGCCCCACTCCCACCCTCCCACCTCTCTCTCTCTCTCTCTCTCTCTCTCTCTCTCTCTCTCTGTGACACATACACACAGAGAGAGAAAGAGAAAGAGAAAGAGAGAGAGAGAGAGAGAGAGAGAGAAAGAAAGAGAGGCAACAAATTTCTTCATCTTAGTACTGAGGTTCAAACAAGAAGTTCAATTTTTTCCTCTCATCGCAGTGCTACAATGGGGCAATTCCTCCATTACAGTGCTGGAGGCCTGAGGGAAGTTTAAATCTTTCAGCTCCGTACTGTGAATGAGATTCAAATTTTCTTGTTGTAGAAACTGAGCTGAGAGGTTTCCCAAGGCTGTGAAGGGGCTCACCTTTCAAAAGCACCATTGTTAGAATGCATTACCAGTCAGTAACAGGAAGGAGGAAACAGGTTAGGAAACAACTAGAAGTATCTCTTATGAACTCCAGCTGATAAGACAGCTGCATCCGTTCCAGGGCTGGGATAGCTTGGCCATGGTGGTACTCAAGATTGTATTCCGGCTACACACTCCATGTGGGGCTTCCCTGGGGCATAATTTGGAAGCTGCAGTTCATGCAGAACGCAGCAGCCAGGCTGTGGACTTGGGACATTCTCCCAACACAATAGGACACCTCTGCTAAGAGAACTGTGGCGGATGACAATATGCCACAATGCTCAGCTCAAGATGTTGCTTTTAGCATTTAAACCTCTAAATTATGTGGGGCCGTGTTAACTGTGGGAACGCCTTATCCCGTTTGACCCTGATGGGCAATTGCATTCCTCAGATGGGCCGCTGTTCTGCGTGCCCAATAAGTACGTCTGGAATCAACTAGAAGCCAGGCCTTAAGGGTTATGGCTCCAGTTCTGTGGAATCAGATTCTGACTGAATTTACACAAGCACCCAGCATTTCTGCTTTCAGGAGGCTATTCCTTTTTTAAAGGAAGCTTTTCTTGAAGAGTGACTTGGCCATTTCATATTAAATACTGCAAGGAATTTTGTGTTTCGATGATTTTAAGATCTGTTTTTATTTTTAAATTTTATTTATTCGGTTTTTCAATTGACAGTGTTACAATCACATATCCAAAATACAACATAAAGACAAGATTCCATAGAATCTCCTGGACTTCCCTCCTTCCCTTTGTGGGTCCTATTGTTAGCCATTTCCTCCTGCATCTTTTATAACCAAATCTTTTACATCTCCATTATATCCATAATTCACCATTAAACTACAAGTGTTATTCCAATCCTACTAACAATTTTAACTATTTACAATGGTTTTTTAAGATAAATTATAAATTTCCCCCATTCTTTATTTAAGATCTGTTTGTAAGACAACTTGGTATATCTCGTTTTCATTCATGGCTTGCCTCTCGGGGTGGAAGCACCAGCTTCCCCGGCTCACTGCTGCTCACTGGGAGAGAGAGGGGTAAGGGATGGGGACCCAGGGAAGCAGCAGAGTCAATCCAATGCTTCAGCTGGTGTGCCTACAAAACCCTGACATCCCCACTGCCTCTTTCCTCCTGGTCAGTGGCAGGGACACTGCAGCTACGAAGTCAGTGTTGCAGCTCAGTTCCAATGCTGCTCATTTTTACCACATACCGTATTTTTCCGTCTATAAGACGCCCCCATGTATAAGATGCCCCTATTATGGGGGGCTGAAATTTCAGAAAATGGGGGGAGATAGCAAAAAGTTGCTGAGCTTTTTTTGAGGGGGGGGGAAGGATTGCCCAGAGTTGTTGAGCAAAATCCGCCTCCCGTCTGTCCCCTTGCCAGCAGAAGCTGCCAATCGCCCACCCAAGTGGCACTGGCCAATCAACACCACCCATTGATGCAGCAACCAATAACACACACAATAGCTGCTGACAGCCACGGCAGCAACCAACTACCCATGTATAAGACAACCCCCACTTTTTAGCATGATTTTTAAAGGAAATAACCTAGTCTTATACATGGAAAAGTGTGGCATGTTGCTGGGTTTTTCCCCTGCTGTATGCTGTTTAGGAAACATTTATTTATGTATTAAATCTATACCCCACCATTTCTACCAAAGCAGCCCAGGGCAGCACTCGTTTAGAAGTGGTCTATAAGCCCTTAAATAGAACAAATTTGGAAATAAACAAATAAAAGCCCTGCAGAAAAAAGCAACCCAGGTCAACTTAAAGAAACGAAAGGCTGCCTTGGCGCTTTATTGCAAGCTTGCTGGGGTTCACTCCCTGACATGGCCATGCCTGAGACCTCAGGACGAGTTAAAAATTAAACAAGGAAGCAAAAGGTTAATCTTGCCTCATTCTTCTAATAGGGCCCAACTGAAGGGTACCCCCTTCAAACCTACACCCAAGATCCATACAAATCCATCGGACATTGTAGGCTTTTATCTCTGTGCACTGAAACATATTTCAAAATCTAATAAAGAAGAGTACTCTGCGGTCCATTAGAGAACTTCAAAGGTCTCATTTGGTACTCATTAATTTTTAAGAAAAAGAAAATAGGCATGAACATAAACATTACCAACATTATCAAAACAATTGTTCCCCTCTGAAAGTAATAGTAATGTGTCAAATTTTCCCATGAATATATGGGTATTTATGGAATTTTTAAAGGCTGAGGGTGGGAAGCATTAGAATCACCTGACAGGGAAAAAGAAGTATTTATTTACCTCGTTTTGCCATGGAATAGAAACAGAGCCTGTGGAGAACTTGGAATAGAAATCGTCATCTGTTTGGTCCAGGTTCACTCCCTTGACAGTTGAAAACTGTTCTATGTCCAACACGTCTTTGCAGTACACTGCTCTGGGCTGCCGCAGCAGAAAAGAAAAGAAAAGTGAGAGAGTCCAGAATGTGTGGGTGAAGCGCTGAATGAGAATGCTTAACAGCAGCACTGCATTGTAATACAAACATTGTCAGGCTGTGCCTCATAGGCATGGTTACAATCAGTACCTAGGAAGGAATGTCATGTGCTGCTTATTCAAACCATCAACCCATGGGCCTCAAGATTTTTCAGTGTTGACTGGTAGTTGCGCTCCATGGTGTCAGACAAGGAGCCTCTCCCCGGGGGTGCTGGGGATTGAGCATGGGAACTTCAGTACCTAAGGCAAGTGCTCCACTCATGACCTACTGCCCTCACCTCCCCATTAAAACAGTTATACACTGAAGTGTTTGCATTATAGAAAATTGAAGCGCCAATACAGTGGTGCCTCGCAAGACGAAATTAATCCATTCAGTGAGTCTCTTCGTCTTGCGGTTTTTTCGTCTTGCGAAGCACGGCTATTAGCAGCTTAGCGGCTATTAGCGGCTTAGCGGCTATTAACGGCTTAGCGGCTTTAAGAAAAAGGAAACAAACTCGCAAGAAGTCGCAAGACGTTTCGTCTTGCGAAGCAAGCCCATAGGGAAATTCGTCTTGCGGAACGACTCAAAAACCGGAAAACCCTTTCGCCTAGTGAGTTTTTCGTCTTGCGGGGCACCACTGTATTTAAAAAGGAAAAAATAAACATAGTTTTTTTAAAAAAATATTAAGTGGAGTATCAATGTTTTAAATTGATAAACAACCCCCCCCCCATTTAAACAGAAACAACTTAAAAGGGGAGAACTAACTGAATGAAAATTTCAGTTGACTTAGCATTTAGGCCAGGGCTCACAGAACCACAAAGATTGCTCTGCTTGTCCAAGCAGGCATGGATTTTGTCTCTCGTGAACTGCAGCCACTCTGCACTTAGCTATAACTGGAAAACCCCAGTGGGAGACATCCAAAGTAACTTTTTCAATCTTGGCTTAGAAGCCAAACTCTAGAGAGCTGGTTGAAAAAGAAGTTAAATGGATGCCAATTACAAGACACAAAGGTATCGGAAAATGTGCAGTTTCATTGCCAAGCGCTTTGAAGGTGACGCTTCAAATCTATTTCGTGAGGAAAATGGTAAAACAGCTTGGTTTGTTTTGATGAAATATTATTCTTAGTATACTTTCTGTGGAAGCTTGGGGGTTCTTTTGGATTGAACATGGTCACTGGAGACTCAGGAGGCCTCATTATTTAGCAGAGCCCACTTTCAGCTATAGGTTGTTCCCCAGCTCCAGTCAGTTTTGTACAGAGATAGACTGGCTGCCATACTCCCAGGTAGTCCTGACAAGGTGTTGGAAGGTACAGATGTGAATGCCGCACAGCCTGTCCTATCCTTTCTAAGATAGTCTGGAGGATGTTCTTCTCCCACCACTGTTGGGAGTAAGATTCAGCTGTCAGTATGGTATGCTTCTGTCCGTGGAATTGGAGGGGGGGAGGGCAGGGAACCACCATCTTGTTCATCCCCTCAAGCATAAAAACATTTTGGGGCAGGCCTGCTAACCACATACTAGCCTGATTTCACCATGGCAAAGTTGCAAGGAAAAGTAATCTACACTACAAGCTTATTTGACCTCTATACACCAATGCAACTGTCATGGCTTCCTCCAAAAAAATCCTGGGAACTGTATTTGAAATTAATGTTCCCAGAAGTATTTGCTAAGAGATCGTTAGTTACCCTCACAGGATTACAGGTCCTAAGAGTTCTTGGAAATTACTGTTAAATCCATTTATGCCCTCCAGTGACTTTGCCCTATCAAAAACAGTACCCTGAAATAAAAGTATGTGACTGAACGAAGAATTATTGGACCCTGGCATCCAAGGTCAACATATGGCCACTTAACCATGCTAGCTCTCAAGTAAAACAGAATGTAACAGGGAACAGAAAGCAAGCAGCTGCCATTTATGTGAGAGAACAGTCTCAAGTGGTGTATGCCATGGGTTGCTTTCAAGATCCACTTCAATTACTGAGATTCTCTTTCAAGCATCACTTACGTCAGGGACAAAAGGAGGGTCCAACATTCCTGCTTCTAAGCGTTTGAAATTCATGCTCTTGAAAAATGGGTGCCTCTTTACTTCGGCTGCACCATCCTCCTGACAACCCAGTCTCTGCTTCACATCTTTGGTCAGTAGCTAGAGAAACAGACAAATGGGATGGCAAGATGGCGGTTGTTTAATTACTTTAACACACACACAGGTACATTTGTTAAACCTTCACAGCCCTGCCTACCCATAAATAGGCCCTTTATAAATTAATTCACACAACCAAACTGTACTACACATTTTAACAAAAAGAAAACGGAGTTCATCTCAGCACAAAGGCTTCTGAGGAATAAATTATATTCACATGCAGCTCAGTGCCAGAATAGGCTCATAAGTGGTTTATAAATAAGATTAATTGCACAAGCATTAAAATATAAACATCCTTAATTTAAAATGCACAATAAAACAATCCAAGCATTAAATATAGCATGTATCTAATCAAATTATACAATTAAGTATATAGATAAGCTGGTACTTTTCATTTTAATTTTTTTAAATGGACAGCTAATAAAAAGCTAGCCAGTGCAAAGGCCTAGCCAGGAGTGTCGTCCTCTTATATACCTGCTGAGATTGACAAGGCATCTGACCCTCACCTGAATCTCATAACTCTCTTGAAAGGTGATTTGGTCTGCAGCCACAGTGTGGAAATAAAGGATGAGATTGCCCATCAGATACCAGGCATTCTACTATTCAAATTAGGCCCCAGTGTTTTTATTACAATCCCCTTCTCAATTAAGTAATCAATTTTACTGTAGAATTTAAATTCTCAAAACTTTCTTATTTGTTAATTTGAGCAAGTAAACTACTGCTCTCACTTCATTACAAACAGTATTTCTGCCTGCAACACACTTGAGCAAACCTGCTCCTCTTCCTTTCACAGATATTTTGTTGCCATTTGTAGCTGCTTCTGATTAGTTATCATTTAACTCTTTGGGGAAATAATTAGCATCACATGTCATGTACACGGAAGTTGCCGAACCAATTAACCAACTAGAAGGATTACTGTTAATAGCACCAGTTTTCCTATTACTTGATATTGCTGGATAGTTCTGATGAACTACAACAGCATTTTTAGTTTGCTTTCTGTTGCCACCCTGGAACTTTTCTTTATTAGTGCCACTTTGTTTTGTACGATTCCTTGCAAATGAAGGAAAACAACTTTTCTGCTTGTATATGTTGAAAATATAATTTTGGTTACTGAGAACGAACAACATTGTACAAAAACAAGATTGAACACAAGCCTGGCCAGGACATAGGCGTCCTGACTGTGACAAAGGTGACCTGTGTGCTTGCTTGATTAACAGCTGTTGGGGACTTCAAGGTCCCTGCTCTCCCTTCTTATGGTCTTTGTACTGGACCTGAAGATTCCAATAGAGAGCATTCCATGTCAAGAAGGAGGGCAAGTGGGCACCCTATCAAATGACAGGGCAGGAGCTACATGGAGCAAGGCCTTTTCACTGGTGGTGCCCATTGTATGCCTTGCTCTTCCCAGACCTGTTCTATTTTGGCCTGTATTTTGGAGCTTTATAATTTAGGAAGACTTTGGAAGAACTGGTTGACAAGTCTTATCAGTCACTGACGTATGAGCGGATTTTATTTGCTGCTATTCTGGGCTTCTGGTGCACCAGGGTTTACACCAGCATAATAGAGTTGGCCAGGATGCCAGAAGGGATACAATTTATGAGCTTTCTCCATTATCTGCACAGCAGGGGGTGTTTAGTCAACAGTGCAAAAGCTGAGCTGAAGCATTCCCTGCTGGTTACCTGCTTTCAGCAATAGGGGTCGCTGTTTGCTAGTACTGTTTGCTGTCAGATTCTAGAGCTCCCTATTGGTGGCTCTTAGGTAATTCACAAAATACAGAGTCCATTCATACAGCACAGTGTTCATTCATAAAGCAGTAACATAAATCTCCATTGCTACATATTGGGTGTATATTTCAGCAGTTGAACGTACAGGTTTATGACCATGCTGTAGTGTAGTGCTTAGGCAACTGTGAATAAAAGGTGGCTGGGCTCATTGTCTCGGGGTTTGCGGGGGGGGGGAGGTGACAAAACTGATTTCCAATAAGTGCGCCCCCTTTATTTCCATAACAACTCCTTGAGTCTGTACTCTGGTGACACCAGGGACCTAGAAGGTGCAGGGCTTGTCGGTCCAACCTCTGCACAGTCTCATCAGGGCTGACCTTAAGGCAATTGGAGCAATTGGGCCAAATTGGGCCCCGCGTGCTGCTCCTAAGCCCCCCCCCCACACCAAGGCAATCTAGATGGATTTTATTTATAGCTATATATTTTTTTTGCAGACTTTGGCTGCGAACTGGGGCCCTTCAAAAAAAAAAAATCAAGTTGTGCCCCACTACTTCAAATTGGGCCCTACTGGCTAGCGCTGAGTCTCATACTTGGTGGGCCTGAGTTGCCCTGCCCTTGCATGAAGTCTTAGGTTTGCAATTTTGGGAGAGGGGATGTTGCCTGCTGGGGAGTGGGCAGGCTGGCGAGGCCCCCTAGATTTAGAGGCCCGAGTTGACCTGCCCTTGCATGAAGTCTTGGGTTTGAAATTCGGGGGGGGGGGGGGAGGTTGCCTGCTGGGGAGTGGGCAGGCTGGTGAGGCCCCCTAGATTTAGAGGCCCTAGGTTTCAGCCTGCTTAGCCTATACATAAATCCGGCACTGGCTGCAATACAGCTATATTCTCTTTGTCCATTAGAGGGCAGCAGTGGAAAACTTAACACAGACCATGTAAACAAAAAATGTTTGTATAGGCTTGTAATTAGAAAATCATTTTTAAAAAATGAATGGACATAATCAGGTCTTAGCTATACAAGCAACAGAAAGTTCAATACTGTGTGTATATCTATCTATATCTATCTATCATCTATCTATATCTATCTATCTATCTATCATCTATCTATCTATCTATCTATCTATATCTATCTATCATCTATCTATCTATCATCTATCTATCTATCTATCTATCTATCTATCTATCTATCTATCTATCTATCATCTATCTATCTATCTATCTATCTATCTATCTATCATCTATCTATCTATCTATCATCTATCTATCTATCTATCTATCATCTAATCTATCATCTATCTATCATCTATCTATCATCTATCTACCTACCTACCTACCTACCTTCCTACCTACCTATCTATCATCTATCTCAACTTCAGTGGAAAGGAACAGCTCCTGCTTGTGTCCTGTCAATGATCAGGCTACTGTTTCTGGAAAAATTCTCCAACTAAACTGTTCCAAAAGCTAGAAAAATATAGACAGAAAGGCAGCGGAAATGCATACAACAGAATACAGGCATCACTGAGGGAAGTTATTAGGAGATCAGGACTGGGTCTTGCACAGCTTTAGTAGATCACAACATGTAAGAAGATCTGTGAACACATTAAGTCTCACAGTGGGAACAGGAACAGGTGGGAACAGGAACAGCACACATAGTAAATGGAATAAATGGTGGAATAAATGGTGAAATCTTCCTTCAAGTGTCTGTTATTGACATTATGGCTGCCACAGTCACAACTGGAGATCATTCTGATCAAGGGTAGCCAACGTGGTTGTCCTCCAAACATTGTGGAGGACAATTCGCATCTGCACCAGTCAGCACAGTCAACAATCTGTGGGAGATGATGGGAGATGGCTGACCCATGTCAGAAATGGAAGACAAGAGAAAAATTACTTTGAAAATCTTACTACATGGCCATACTGCAGTAATGAAGCCAATACATTTTCTTGTGGCCCATATCCCTTTCAAAATTGTTCAAAGCATCACCAAGAAGCTATTCATCACTTATGCCATTAAGGGACTGTGTGGAGAACCCTCTTCTTGTCTCCTCACAGAGCATCCTAGTGTGTTCAAACTGAGTTTTTGCTAATTTGAATGAAACATAGCCTTGAAAGGAGAAGAAAAGGCTAAGGCGTAAACGTCACACAAATCCAGAGCTGAGTCCCTAAGACGGCTGGATGGCATCTTCAGCAACTCCTGCAGCCAAGCTGTTGCCAAATATATTGCTCTGCTTTCCTTTGGACCACATCAGTGAGGCTGAGAGGGAGGTTCTTGTCATCTGGGCAGCCCAGGACCTCCATACACACTGCCCAAGCTTGCGGCCCAGGGAGACCACTTTGGTGCGGTTTAATGCTTAATGCTTAACTTCACCCCCAGGGGCACACTCCATTGTCTCCTGAGACAGATGGATGCCAACAGCATGTCCCTGTGTCTCCTAAAAGTTTAGGACTCAAGATGAAGACATGTAAAGGACTGTAGTGGGAAATGGATAAATTTCAATATCTACACTTGTATGTACACACACCTTACTGAAAATAACGTAGCTATTTGAATTTGTTGTGCAAGTGAATTAAAGCACGTGCCAGTTCGGATATGTGAATGTGAGTCAAGGCAGGCTCTTAAGTGTGGCAAGACTGGGCATTTTCTTGGGCCAAAATCAGCAAAGGATCCACTGCCTCAATATTCATTTTGAAGAGAGCCCCCGGTCTCCCAGATTAGGGGGGAGGGGTTCACTGAAAGTGCCTTGATTGAGGGTCTTCAAAATTCTGGAACCAGTATGGAGAGTTAATTAAGCTACCCTTACCTTTCAAGGGCACGGACAACACACGAGAAGCTCCTAAAAAGTTTTTCCAGAGCCACAGGATGGCTAATACTCTTCTGTTGTGTAATGTGACAGAAACATCACTAGGGAGGGAGCAAACTAAAAAGCCTAAATGATTATTCAGTGCAACTTCTATGACCTCTGGTTAATTTCCATGCTCCTGAAGTACAGCGTTAACATTGGATCAATCTTTTTCAACTGTAATTACCTGTTCAATACAGGCTGCTAACAAATTTGGCCTTCAAGTCTCCAAAACAAAAAAGAAAGAAAAAGAACAGTCCCCCTTACCATTTTGCAGATAGACTTTGCCTCCTCAGAGAATTTATGGGAATACACCTCCTCGGTCTCCAAGACTCTCCTGTCTACCTCTTCTCGCTTCACCTTCTCTTTCCTTCCGCGAAAGGGAGATTGTCCTGCAATCATCTCATAGATCAGGCAGCCTAACCCCCAGTAGTCAGGGCTGAGGGTGTATCGTTGGTTATTCAAGACTTCTGGAGCTGGGAAAGAAAGAGAGGTAGATGGGATCCTGACATCATCACACCCATGGCTAAATAACCAGCCATAATTGAAGAATGAAAGAAAAGATTCCATCTAAGCTTTGATTTGGCAAAAGGACCGGTTCACCTGTTACATCTGCTACTGGGAGCCCCCAGAATGGATTTGGGGGAGCATGGTGAGAGGAAGTTCCACTGTGAATGAACAGATGAATGAATGAATCCTTGTGATGACAGAGCAACTTACCTTGCAGTATGTTGCATGCAACCCCAGATATGTAACTCTTTGACTAATATGTGGACTGAAACTTGTGTACACTTGAAAACGTTGGCAGCATTAAGATAAATTCAACAGTGTAAATAAGTTTTGATGGCTGTAATAATGGAAGACTGAATGGTTTAGTTTATGTAAAATATGCAGGGATTTATGATATGTAAAATGAACTATGGAAAGAGAAGAAGGGAAGTCATTTATATTTTAAGGTTGTTGAAATGAATATTCTAAATTGTAAAACAGAAAAATTTATATATATATATATATATATATATATATATATATTACTGTAATTAATAAATAAAAATAATAAACTTAGTGCTACACTGGATTTCACACTTCACTTTTATGTCATGGCATCTTTCTCAAGCTTATCAAAATAAAGAGAGCCTTTTGCCCCTGACTGCCTTGCTGTACTTGATTTTCTTTTCCTTTCTTTTTCCTTTTGGTATTACTTTCCATTACCAAGTTTGAGAAGACAGTTTTGATAGCAACACACATAAGGTACCAAATCACTTACCCATGTAACCGACTGTTCCTACCCGTCCACGGATTGATTCACCATCAGGGATTTTAACAGCTAGACCCAAATCAGATATTCTGATGTGGCCTAAAAGGAGGTGGAGGGAAAAAACACAAATGTTCTAGCATAGCTACTGTATATACCTCTACAAAACAATGGGTTGCATCATTCCGCTGGTGATAAGGCATCTCTCAGCTCTACACCTCCCTAAATCTGCTCCAGAGAGTTGGGGAATCCCCCTCCATAAGAGACTGAAAGAGGTGCCCAGGGCAGTGAGAAGACAGTGCTAAGGAGAATTGCCCCAAACTGGTCCCCATGTTGTTCAGCAGATGGAAGGCCTGCCATCAGCTGACACAACCAAATCCCATTTTTCTAAAAATTCACATCATAAAAAATAAATCTAAGCACGTTAAAGGAATAAAATGATACTGGCTCTTTGAAAGATCTCAAAAAACATTCAAGGAACAAATGAAACTGCCTTATTTGTTCATCAAGCTCCGTATAATCCCAATTTGGGATGGAAGCAAGGAGCAGAGACACACTAAGGAGCCCGAACCCAGAAGTGCATGCTCTTTCTAGTAATTTTCCTGGCACCTGTGTGCACAAAGTGAGTGTCAATAGAGAGGGGCCCTTTGTGCATATGACTGTATAAGTAAAAGCCCCCGTGGTATCTGGTATCCTAAACTATCAGGATTTCATTTCCCCCCGCAGGAAGCTGATTGGCTGGCCTATGCTGGCCTGCATCATCTTTGTGGACAAGAGCAGGCTAAAGCATCATTCATTTCTGGGCTTGGAGATTTTATTTTCTGGAATAGTATTCCTAGGAACAGGAATACAGAACAACCAAGCACAACCCAAAACCATCTCTCTCTTGAGAGCAGGGAACATAACACAAAAAGAGTGCTTCTGGATCAGGCCAATGACCCATCTAGTACAGCAATCCTGTTCTCACTGTAGCCCATTCGGTGCCTATGTTATTTTGTTTTGACACAGCTGATCAAAAACAGAAACACAGGGTTTCATCTTGGAAATGGTTCCGAAAAGTAAGATAGAGTGCGTCTTCGGGGTGAGGGGGCAGCATACAAATCTGAGCACCATAATTATTTATTAAGGAAAATTCCCAGAGTAATAAGGAGAATGAACAACTTTACTTATTACAGATCTGTTGCCCTGAACCTAACACCCACTGCTTTTCATAATAGCACTTTCTTTTCTCTCTCTTTTCTGGGAAGTCTATCCTTTCCTATATCCCAAGAAAAGCAGTGGAAGCTGCTCCATGTCTTACCCACTTCAGAGAATGATTTGGCTCTGCACAATACCATGTCATACAACTAAATGTAAGCTACTTTACTGTGGAAGAAAAGGCCTTGCCTAAAGCTCTCAGACTTACCATAATCATCTAACAGGATATTTTCTGGCTTCAAATCCCTATTAAAAAAAGAGAGAGAGAGAAAGAAAGAGGAAAGATTGCAATTATTTGTATGAAAGTAGCTTTGATATTGGAGGAATAGCAAGGAATCAGAATGCTGTTTCCTTCCAGCCATAACACAGCAGGGAGCCAATTCTCAGAAAACAGATTTCAAAACGATATATATAACCCTAACCTGATGGCTCCCTAGGACACACTATCTACCGGAAAAAAACACACACCAACCGCTACTTACATGCACAATCACACCACCACCCTGCACAAATAAACTCCGTAGCCAAGACTCTCATCTCCAGAACCAAACGCCTGGCTGACAAAGACCACTTGACAACTGAGTTACAGAATCTCTCCAATGTGTTAATCGCCAATGGATACCAGCAAAACAGGGTTACGAAGCTAATGCAAAAAGAAACACCCCCCAAAAACCAAGACACAGAAGAAAACAATGGCATGGCCCTCCTTCCTTATATCAAGGGCACTACAGATAAAATTAGCAAAATCCTCCATAAACACAATATCAAAACAGCCTTTTGCACCAACCAAAAAATAGCCAATATCCTCAGAAACCCCAAGGATAAAATCCAGTTGGAAAACCAAGGGGTCTATGAAATACCCTGCAAAGTCTGCCCAGCCACGTACATTGGACAAACAAACAGACGAATAAATGCACGTATCGCAGAACACAAGAATGCCGTCAAAAAAGAAGAAAAAACTTCCTCTCTTTTCCAACACATGAAAGAAACAGGACACGAAATTAATTTTGCAGATTCCAAATTGCTCTCTAACATGGAACATCACCACAAGAGAATAATCATGGAAGCCATCGAGATAGAGAAACACCCTCACAACATGAACAAGCGTGACGACACATCCCGCCTGCCAGACATCTGGAAATTAGCCCTCCCCACAAAAACCGACACCAGATCCAGAGGCACACAGAACGCCATCACCAATCAACCACACCAGACCCAAACCCAGACCCTCTCCACAGATAAATTACAGACACCATCCAGTAGCCAAACCATGGTGGCACCTCCGGATGCTGCACCCCCCTGCAATCCCTACACAGATCTGGCTGGCACAGGACACAAAACCACAGCTCGCCCCTATACACGAAGCCAAGCCAGAGCACAACTAATTGCAGTACAGCCATCTTCTCAGAAAAACTCTTCACAAAGTTCAAGAGGTCAAGACACGAAGGCTTTAGCAACTAATCCACACCTAATGACCCACCTAAGTGGTACTCAGGATATCACTCAAGAAATCACTCAAGATATCCCTCAAGTAATTAAGGAACAAAAGAAGAAAAGGCACACTAACCTGGGAACTTCCTCTCTGCCCAGAACATTGGAGGCTATACACCACACCCCCTCAACAGTATTTATAGGAACTCAAACACTGAGATCCTGCTCTGTTCCAGTAACAAGAAGCCGAAAGCACCAGCCTGAAGATGACGAGTGAGACCTCGTCGAAACGTCGCCTAGACACCCCAACTTTTACACGGGAAGACACCCGAGGACACCAAAACCTGCATATATTATATATATATATATATATATATATATTTAAAACTATTGCAAGATGGAAGCTCCCGGTCCATCAAATAGTATTCCGCTCTGCTGGCACAAGGTCATTCAGTTCAATGAGATTTGGGTGGACAGAGAACCCTGAGAATCACGTAGGTGATAGTGTCTAACCCACCATCATAATATTAGAATAATAATAATTTTATAACCACTTTATTATTTGTATGCCACCCATCTGGCTAGCTTGCCCAGTGTATGGAAGTGACCAAAGGGGTGCTGACCATCTAAAAAAAATCCACACTCAACTTGGCTTTCTGGATTTCAAAAAGCCACTGCACTATTTTTATTTTTTAAATTAAGGCCACTCTATTATTTCACAACCTATTTTTAGACAATGCCAATTTATACATATTTACTTCTGAGGTAGAAAAGCCTATTAACCACCCCATTTTTATAAGGATAACCATTTGCTTTATTAAATTCATGAATTGAAGAAAACGTGTTAAAATATTGCTTCACAGATTATTGTATTTGGGAGGAGCTGCTTCAAACACCTCCCCATGTGACAATAAGGTGGGCAAATTGATACACAGATCTTTGTCACCACAGAAACAACCATGTGAATTGGCTAGACTATAATTCTCCAAACTGATTGTTAGAGCAATTTGCACTGTGAGATGACCACCTCTCAAATACAGTTCAAATACAGTGCTTTAATTTACTCCCTTTTAAATGATTTTAGGTTTTGCGATCAGCGGACAGAAAACTTAGTGGTTTTCCCTTACTAATCAAGTGGGAACTTTTTTGTTTATTCAAAACATATCATGCACATTATTTATTATTATAAGCCAAGGCACATGTACGAAGAACATTTTTGTTCCCTTCCTTTTGTTGGTTTAAATCCCTATTGACCTCACAAGATAAACTTCACAAGATAAACCAATGGGACCAGGCCTACTTTTCAAACAAACAACTCTGAGAAAATATGTGAAGGGTGAGAGAAGGCAGCAGAAAATGGATGGCTTTATTTTAAATACTACTGTATGCTTATTCTCAGTGCTAACAAAAAGATTCGCTTTGGAGAGGTGGGATGAAAGGTCATTCTCAACAAACCTCTTCATTCCAATTTTAAATGTTTCCTTGACGAGTCCAAAATGTTTTAATTCTCTTGCATTTTACATGTTGGCTGTTGATCGGTAGCTAAGGGGCAATACCCCCACTATTGCAAAATAATAAAATAAAACAAAATAGGGGAAATTCTTACAATGTTCATGGAAGTTCAAACATGGCAGGACAGAGAAATAGCACTTGTGTCTTATCCAGTGACACTTCCATGTTTTGTAGGGGTTCTTGAGCAAGATGCCCTCAATGGTCTCCCTCCCTTTGTGACTCCACCACTCATGGTCACTATGTTGCTGCTGCTCCAGCTCATCGTTGGTACAAACTGCTTTTCACCTTCTTTGCCTTTTGCTTTCTCATCCCCCTCTGAGTCAGAGCACGATGCAGGTGCACAAGCAGGTTGCAGTGGTGAGAGCCCATCCAGGAGGTTCGCCAGTGGGACCCCTGCTGGAGGTGCCCAACCATTTTGATCTTTGACACCAGGCTCTGCTCCCTTTGAAAAAGGATCCCAGGTTTTGATAAATTATCCTCTTCGAGATCAAGGACAGGTTGACTCCGGGTGCATCACAAAATAGTCCTGCCTCCTATTTTTCCACCAGTAAAATGAAGTCCATGTTGCATACAGACTATCTGTTCTGTCACAGAGCTATGGCCCCTTCCCTTGTAATCCTAGGGCTGAAACTCTTGGAAGATATGAGTCTATAAAGTCAGATAACTAATCGTTATAACATAGCCCAGATTTGCAAATCTGTCCCCGGGAAATATGGCAGCAGCAGCCTCAGCAGCCCGGAGCTAGCCTGTTAGCACAGTTGGCTCTGGCTGGCTTCAGGAGTTGCTCGCTGCTGTGGCACCCACCATTTTTCCTGCGCCACGGCAGCGAGCAGCTCCTGAAGCCAGCCAGAGCCAACTGCGCTAACAGGCTGGCCCCTCCTGGGCAACAGCTGCCCGCCCATGACTCCCGTGCCTCCCCAATCTGTCAAAACAAAGGGGGAAGGGGAAAGGACATCAGGGAAGGCTTGGGACTCACGGGTGCGTGGTGCGCCATTGCCCAGTTTTTTAAAAAAACTCTGTGCATTTATGTTTCACAGGGTGTGAAAGAAGGGCTTTGTACCTTTATACATTATGCATGTGTGCTTGGACCCAGGGTCTTTGCCTCAACATCCCCACTACTGACTCCCTGTTGCTACTCAGCTTCAAAAAAAAAAAAAAGGGGGGGGTCCCCGGATTCATTGAAAAAAATCTGGTAACCATATAACACAGCTTCCCGAAGTCTTAAGCAGAGGTCCCAGCCTTGTTACTCAAGAGCCTTTTCGACAGAGAGGCTGGGGACTGAATATAGGAATCTTACGGCTGTCGCAGGCGGGGAAACTAGATAAGGATTGTAACATTTTCCAGACAGAGCCACATACAGGATCTTCAATTTCTAAGTAGATGGCTTTCATTATTTAATGGATGAGCAGCTTCTACATAAAATTTCAATGTGTGGGTCCTTATGTGATACTTATGTGAAAAGCCCACTCACAAGCACAAAACCTGGAGGTGGTTCTGCATATCATAAATATCTATGTAAAGTCTCAGGAAAATAAAACAGACTCTGCAACAAGTTTCTGAACACACCGGAATGATATTTACCTGTACACAGTGTTCTCTCTGTGCAGGTCTTCTAAGCCACAAAGAATCTCTGCTGCATGAAACAAGGCTCTTTCTTCCTCAAAGCCTGGGTTCCCCATATTATAGATGTGGAACTTCAGGTCACCCCCATTCATTATGGTTAGAACTAAACAGAGTGCGTCCTTTGTTTCATAGGCATAGGCTAAGTTGACCTAGAAGAACAGTTGGGATAGTTTAAAGCACAAAGACAGGCGCTTGATGCACACATATTCATTCATTGCTAATGTTCTGCATTTGGAATGACATAAAGTATCATATGACTGAATGGAGCCAAAGGGGAGATAGGCAAATCATCAAGGGTTAAAAAACAAAACTCTGAAAATTTGGAAGCAACATGGTACTAGGTCGTTTTCATAAAGATTATCACTTGCAGGTTCATAGTGTCATGCTGCCATGAATACTTTTTCAGCAAAAGTAGAGATCTGATGACAACCAAAACAAAGGAGACAGTCCCCAAAAGAATGAGAAACAACAGACCAAGTTACAGGAGCCCCAAAAAACAATAACAATCATGTAAAAAGTGATTATAGTTGAACAACACAAGATAGCATGTACAGTAAACGTAAAGCTGTGGTAGCCGTTGTTCTGTAACAATCACAACAATTTCTACAAACAGCTCAGATTATTACGTTATATGACGAGATCTGCTAGACTGCACCCCATTTCATACTTCATCACAACAAAACAGATAATTTATTGCAGCTGGCAGCAGTAGACCTCCTCCCTTAGATTATTTTACATGCAGCCATGTTTTGTTTAACTATCAATCACTTTTTGCACAATTATCATTGGTGGTGGTGGTTTGGCTTCCTGTGCTGCTCTGGGTTTGAGCTTCTCATTTTACTCCTGCATCTCCTATGTCTGCAGCAGCTCAAGTTCTGACAAATGAAGCACGAGACGCCCTGACGTTTTGGACTATCGAAGAATGATGCACAGAAAAGGCTGTACTGGGAGTGACAAAACATATCATATACTGTACAGCCAACTTCTGAATGTTGGCTTGAGCCGAGATGTTTTCTGGAAGCATTATACACTTCCTGTGACTAATGCCATTCCTTGATGGGTGTGCTGCCCAATGGAAAGCCTGTGCCCATTGCAAATTTGGCAATACTTACTACAAATTGACTATTGACTTTTTCTAGAATCTGCTTTTCATTTAGGGCCATGGATTCACCTTTCCTCTTCTTTATCCTTTTTTTCTCTAATCTTTTGCATGCATACATTTTCCCAGTTGCTCGTACTTGGCAAGCACATACCTAGAAGGAAAACAACAACATCAACAAATTGTGGAGGGGGGGGAGGGTTGTGTAGGAGGAATTAGTCATTTAAAACTGGGATTCCTGACCATGCCAATCCAGAAGGAAGTCTTGTTGCATTCAAGGTAGGTGGGGTTAGGATTGAGGCCTATGTTACCAAAACCACTTCTTGATAAATCTGTATTATCTTAATCCCCCCCATCTTACTTTTAAAGGAAATTCAGAACCAACTGAAGAGACTTACTAATAGATGATCTTTGGTATTGGACAAGGAGCAAAGTTTGAAGGTAAATTCAGAGCGCATTGAGCTACAGAACTCACGGAACATCCTAAACTGAGAGACACTGACCAGAATAACCTCTACCAATGGGATGGGGTACTTCAGGCCTGGCACCCAAAATTGGGCCCTCCTGGCCTCTCCATCTAGCAATTGAGACTCTCCATACCTCAGCCACACCCTTCCCAGACCTGCTTTGCACGTTCTTTGAATGCTTTGCCTGGTTAGAATGTGTCCTTCAGCTCTGTTAATATTTCTTGTTTGCCTGGATAGAGACTAGAAGGCGCATGGGGATGTATCTAGACACTAGCCTACTGTACAAAGGTACAATTTGCATTCACTGCTCCCGCTTTTGTCTCAAGTGCAGCCCACCACTGGGCTGTGGCCCCAGGAAGACTGTGTAGAAGGGGCTGTGGCCCTTGGGGTGAGAGAGGTTCCGGGCCCTACAGAAAATGCAAGTTCCCATTCTGGAGGGTTGAGGCAGAAGAAGACCCTGCTGCAGCCAACCAAGGGGTTGAGATGCAACCCTCACTTTTCAAAAGAGCAACCACAGAAACAGGATGCAATAAAGGAGTCTTGGAAGCCTCTTCAACAAAAGAACATAGGAAGTTGCCATATCCCAACTCAGGCCATTGGTCTATCTAGCCCAGTATTGGCTACACTGATTGAAAGCAGCTCTTCAGAGTTTCAGGCAGACACCTCTCCCAGACATACCTGGGGATGCCAGGAATTGGATCTGAGATCTTTTACATGCAGAGAAGATTCTCTACTACTGAGATGCTGCTTTTCTCTCAAGCGATATGGTTTACTAGTGTTTTATATTTACATGCAGGTAAACATTTATCGTATTTTTCGCCCCACAGGGCGCACTGGCCCATAGGGCGCACCTAGTTTTTTTTGGGGGGGAAATAAAGAAAAAAAAAAATTTCCCCCCCCAGGCGCGGGGCTGGGGCTTCCCCCGACACCAGCCCCCAGAACAGGCTGCTATCCGCAAGCCTAGGGAGCCCGGCGGGAAGTCGCGCCGGTCTCCCCAGGCTTGCGGAGAGCTGCACGAAGCCTGGGGTGCGCTCTTCAACGTGCCCCAGGCTTTGGAATGCAGGCAGCTCTGCGCAACCCTTGGGAGACTGGCGTGAAGTCGCGCCGGGCTCCCAAGGGTTGCGCAGAGCTTCCTGAAGCCTAGCTCTCCAGGCTTCAGCGAAAGCCTGCATTTGCCCCATAGGACACACACACATTTCCCCTTCATTTTTGGAGGGGGAAAAGTGCGTCTTATAGGGCGAAAAATACGGTACTATCTCAAAAACACTGCCTGGTGCACACCATCTATGGCTCAAGCTTAAAGATTCTTTAACCTTAAATCATGGAAATCACGCAGTCCTTAACATTTTCATGCTCAGTCCATCAGATATTTGTGGGTCTGGCTTACTGTTCTTCCTAGGAGCACATTGTTGTCAACAGAAGTTTTCAGAACTACTTACCTCTCCGAATCCACCTTTTCCTAATACCCTGTACTGCCTAAATGTGTTTTTCGTTACTGGTTGTCTGGAAAAAAAAAGATTGGGAAGGGGAGACAGAGAGAGAGAAAAGAGATAAAATGCTTAATGGTATCTTTGAAGAAAGAAAAAAGAAGAAGAAAAGAATGTTGCTTTAAAGGTGATTTGTAGAAAATCATCCCCTAACCATTAGCTCACCATCCTAGGCTATTAGCTCAACAAAAGAAAAGTTAAGTCAGCCATTCCTACAGCAAAGCACAATGATAGTATTACCAGCTGTTTTGAAATTCTGCAGGTTTTTCACATTTCTCAAATGACACTGTTCATTGTAGCCTCGTAGAGCTATTAGACACAAGCAATTTGCTTCCTGTTCCTACAGGGCAGGGCAGACCAACCTGACCCTCCAAATGTTGCTCAACTCCCAATTCCCACCAGCCTCACCTAGCACAGCCAATGGTGGGGAAAGATGAGGCTTGTGGACCACAAACCTCTGGAGGGTCATAGCTTCTCCAGCCCTGTTCTAGGGCAAGTAACTTGAGTACGTGGACACCTCTATTGCCCATCAGGAGAGAGAGACTTGTACTCCCTGTACTTAATCTGCTGGAATGTGATTAAATTCCACCCCAAAATAGTGACGGTCCAGAAGCACCCTTTGGGTAGCGGTTAGGGTGCTGATAACAGCAATTCTCCCTCAAGGAAATATTAAGGGCCACCTTGATTATCAAAATATTCTGTTGATCTAATCTGGGCCTATTTCACTACAGTGGTACCTCGCAAGACGAATGCCTCGCAAGACGAAAAACTCGCTTGACAAAAGGGTTTTTGGTTTTTTGAGTTGCTTCGCAAGACGAATTTCCCTATGGGCTTGCTTCGCAAGACGAAAACGTCTTGCAAGTTTGCGGTGTTAACTCATAGCAACTCATGTTGCTGTACAGTGGTGCTTCGCAAGATGAAAAATTCGCAAGACGAAAAAACTCGCAGAACGAATTAATTTCGTCTTGCGAGGCACCACTGTACATCACTGCTACATGTGGTCAGTGAAGGAGCAAGTCAGCACAGAGAAGGTGGGCTGACTAATAGCCACAGTTGCAACTTCCTTCACTTCTGCCTCACCAGCTCCTTGCTGAAGACATTTCAACTGTGGAGCTGACTCCGTCTATCCCATCCGGGTTCAGGGGATATTTTGAAGAAAAGTCAAGCCTGGACCATCGAACTCTCACTTATAACTGGATTTCTGAAATCCAAGAGGGAAATGGGTGTTGTTTTCTTCCAGCACCTCACTTTTTTTTTTAAAAAAAGAACATCGCTGTCATTTGTTCTTCAGGGAGCAATTAAATGAAACATCCACAGCTGATACTCAAAGGAGTATCATTACTATTGCTTTCCTGCCACAACTGATCGAGCCACCAGGGGGCGGCATGCTATTACATTGAGGGTGAGCTTAGGGCTATCAAAGACAGCAACATTAGTATAGTGAGACTTGCAGCCTTCAGGCTTGCATTCAGAAGTCTTGCCTTGAAACATTCATGCTAAATTTTGAAAGTGAGACGTACCAGCAGCTAGACTAGGCTCCACACCCATCTGCCCTCATGGCCCTTTTCTCTAATCCCAGATGTATGGGTGTTGTCTTGCTTGCAGTTACTCAATAGTGAAAAGGAAGTATTTGTGTGGCAGGCAGCAACTGGGAGTTGCGCTTAAAACCTTTCCCCCCCCACCTCAAAACAATACAACAAATACCTCGAATCAACAGCTGGCAGCTTTAAAAATAAAAAAAGTCTGAACGGATACAAAAAAGAACAAACCAAAGAAAAACCCAGTAAAAGCAAAAGTAATTGATGCATTGTTGCCAAAACTGGGAGTATGCCAAAGTAAGGTTACCAGACATCCCCATTTCCCGGGGACAGTCCCCGAATTTACAAATCAGTCCCCATACAAAATCCATTGAAGTTGAAAAGTGTCCCCGGATTCATTGAAAAAAATCTGGTAACCTTATGCCAAAGTGTAAAATTCCTGCATTAGTTATATGTGCGGTCTGGAAGAGTTAGGCTGCCATCCTAGTATCAGAGACGCCGACTTGCACCCAAGATTGAGGGGGCCCGTCGCACACATTTAATGTAATGCGTGCGACGCTGCAACCTTGGCAGGGAAGTCAGCACAGTGTGGCTTCAACAACCTCTCTCATGGTCAGGAGGACTCAGCCACTGATGATGTGCTGTACTCAGATCTCCCCTCAACATTGAGGTGGCCAACTCCCTGCCCAAAAATATTGAGTGGGCTGAAAACACCTCAGCCTCATAAAGTTGGTGCAGCTGCCTAGCACACACACTTACCCAATGGACCAAGTTCCATTGAAGTAGGGTACTAACCAGGGCTGTCCTTTATCCCTGCTTTTGTTTATTCTAGTAACTGAATACAGTGGTGCCCCGCAAGACGAATGCCTCGCAAGACGGAAAACCCGCTAGACGAAAGGGTTTTCCGTTTTGGAGGTGCTTAGCAAAACGAATTTCCTATGGGCTTGCTTCGCAAAACGAAAATGTCTTGCGAGTTCCTGCAGGGTTTTTTCCCTCCCCCCCCTTTCCCCCAAGCCGCTAAGCCGCTTATCAGCTGATCCGCTAAGCCCGCTAAGCCGCTTATCAGCTGATCCACTAAGCCGCTTATCAGCTGATCCGCTAAGCCGCTAAGCCGCTTATCAGCTGATCCGCTAAGCCCGCTAAGCCGCTTATCAGCTGATCCACTAAGCCGCTTATCAGCTGATCCGCTAAGACCACTAAGCCGCTAATAGCGCTAATCCGCTAAGCCGCTAATGGGCTTGCTTCGCAAGACGAAAAAACCGCAAGACGAAGAGAATCACGGAACGGATTCTTTTCATCTTGCGAGGCACCACTGTATTCTTAACTGAGTATTTAGCTTCTTAATATTAAAAATAAAGAACATGGGCTTACATTTATGATTAGCATGAAAAGTTTGGACAAAGTCTCCCCATTGTCTAAGGGCAGTCAAAAACAGTGAACTTCAATTCATTTGCAGGTGCTAGAAGTACTATTAACATTATGATTCCCCTATCCTTTTCTAAGTCCCATCATAGAATAAAAACATACAAAGCCCACCTGGACCACTTACCTTTCCAGCCATTTCCACTGGAGAAATCTATCAAAGTACATGCTGGCTGAATATTCTCGAAAAGGTTCTCCACTTAGGTAGTCTTGAACAGATCTGTCTCAGATGAAAAAGACAAGACAAACATTTTACAATCCCGAGTCTCATTATGAAGACGTACTCTAGTCTCTTTGAAGTGAGGATGCTTAGGTAAATTTCCACAAGTTCAAATGTAAATACATTAAAAATATATAGCATGTTATTGCTAATGTCAAACTCTGCGGATGTTGATGGTATGAATAATTGCTAATATTTTAGGAGGTTAGCAGTTCTCAAACCCCTGGGTTTTATGATATTTGCTGATAAACCAAAACATGTTCTACCAACCAGTGTTTATAGTTTCTACCCTTGCCAGTAAACCCTTTATTAAAGGTATTGCAACAGTCTGATTGACTGAGCAAAAAATGCAGGGTTTCTTCATGCACACCTGAATGTACATAGCTAATTAAATGTTATGCAAAGCTGGTTTATTTCAACTAGATAATTAAGAACAATTCTTTTTTTCTTTTTCTTTTTTTTTTGAAAAAAAGGAACAATGGCTGCCTTTCATATATCTCTTTGAGTTTTAGTTTTGTACTTTGACAATGAATACCAGTTGCTGGAAACCACAGGAGCAGAGGCTGATCATGTTCGAATCCTGATTGCTGGTTTGCCAGTCACTGTGGGAGCAGGATGTTGGACTAGGTGGGCTATTGGTGTGAGCCTGCAGACTCTTCTTCTGGTCTTAAAAGGCAAGATTTACCAGTAAATCCCATGCTTTGAAATCAGTATACAGCAGAGGAACAAGGCACAGCTTTGAACATCAAGCTCAGCTCTGCCTTTTTCATAACTGTAAGTTTTCCATCTGCATGGCAGTATCCCCACACGATACAAACAAAGCCAAGGGGACAAAACCAGCTCGTTGTTAACACTGTGAATGATTCTCATTTTCTTCCCCGGCAAAGAGAAAAATAAAAGCAGGACAAAGTCATTCAAACACATAAGCAGAACTACTGGTCTATTTTTGCAAATACCCACTTAAACCATCCGGGAGCAACAAAAGCCGCCCAGCCAACAGAGACTACATGGTGACGGCTTTCAATGATCCCTCGCTTTTGATATTTTTTGTTGTTTTAAGGTCCCGCTGTCCCGACAAACACGGGAACTAGGGTTTGCAATGCAAATCTTTTTATGCAGACCTTTTCGGTACAATAGCAAAATTGCTGCGACTTTCCGAAAATCGATAAGCCCTTTCACAGACAAGAGGATGACACAACACACGTACATTTCAATGCCACGGTGCACAGCAGGATTTGCAGAGTCTTTTGTCCACGTAGGCTAACAGCCAATTAATTCATCCCACCTCCCTCTCCAATTTGAATGGGAGGCAATTCAGTCTGCAAAGGATGTGGATTCCCTGCACCTCCCTTGGAAGCAAGAGGATTTGAAGCTTTTTGTTTTGCTGTTTTGGCTAGAATATATTGATGTAGACTGTCAACAACATGAAGGTTGGGTTTTGTACAGGACCTTCCAATACCCCATACATACACAGGAAAAAGCATGGGCAAAGCATGTTCACCATCATGAGTGAAAAACCTATTTTGTCACATGTATGCACATTGCCAAGTTGTGGCCAATGCTACGTATTTCACTAGGGACCCTGGCAGAGGAAAAGAAACCCTGCATTTCTCTATTAGTTCTACACCAATCAGGGCTGGCACTTTCCTGTTCACTGTAAAGGAAAATCCTTTTCCCTAGCAAGAAACAGACACATCCCCCCACACCCCTTGTTACTGCTATTATTATAATGTTCACTCATGCCTTTAGGAGAGGGAAGTACAGGAAGATCAAATAGGAAGTTTTATGAGTGTAAGAAGAAAGGAAGATGTCAGTTTATATGGTCCATTGGTTCATTTAGTTCAGTATTTTTTATGATGACTATCAACAACTCTCCAAGATTTAAATGGAGATCTGTCCAAGCCCTACCCTGGAGATGCCAGGGACCGAGTCAGGGACCTTCTGGATGCAAAGCAGATGTTATACCACTTAGCTAACAAAATGAAAAACGACAAGGTTCAGGAGAGGGGATTGACTTGCTGTTTTCTGGCGTTTCTTACTATATGGCTTTAAAGACAAATGAGTGGCACAGCCGGCAGCATTCAGCCAAATATGCAATCCCACTGCAAGCTATTGGGAGTTCAAAAAAAGTTTTTAAAATGCTAAGTGTATGCTGCAGGGGGTGCGGGTGTCACTGGATAATTTTTTTTAAGGAAACAAGTAAAGGATGCAAATAGAAGAGTTGGACCTAGTACTGATTCCTTTTCAGTTTTGGCTTATTGAGTATTACCTTCTTGTTATTCCCATTACATTAAGGGGCCACAAATACAGGACAAATATCAAATCAATCAGAACCAACTGTGTTTAGAACTGGACACTCTAAATTCCCCTCCCCACAAAACCCCCCACAAAAACATTGCCTGTATAAAGCCCTTAAGATAACAAATGTTCGTTTCGAGCAGCAAATAAGAAGCTGAGATAACTGAAACTCTCAGCCTTTAACTGGTACCTAATTGGAAAAGAATATTTTGGACAGCAACAGTGAAATAACCCTAACTTACTTCACACAAGGTGAGAATAGCTCTTTACAGGGACTGTTTTCAAGTTTTTCTTCTGTCTGCTGGACAAGATCTTGACTGACTTCTGCTACATAAACTGGAGACTACAAAAAAGCAGAGATTAAGCAACACATTAGCTTTGTGATAGGGGAAAGCATTCCATTGACAACCAGGTTCATGTATAGACAAATATTTGCAGTCTTAAGAAAACAATGCCAGAATTTATCTCCCTGTGGCTCGTGAATGCAGTATTTTAAACGGAAACACACATTTCATCACACGAAAGAATCTGGGACTTATTTGCAGCACAAATGAGAACCCGCTAAAGTAAGCCAAGATGTAGCCAGTCCACCTTCTTTTCCTTCTTAAATATAGAGACCCTGTTTAGAGATATTCTAGAACCCTCCACAAAATCTCCCTAAAAGTGTTGTGTTGTAGGATCCTGAGATCACGTTAAGGGTAGCCAAATTCTGTGCGGTTGCCATAAATCTTAGGGAACAAGCTGTGCTATCATAATGATTAAGGTTTTAAATGATAATTTTAGGTTATAGGTTAGTGACTAAGTTTTAATTTATATATTTTTAAACTGTTGCTATATCTGTATTGTCTCTGTTATACCTAATTGCAAGTTCAAATGTATCCCTATCGTGTTTTAGGACTTCCTTGATATTGTATGTGGGCTGGAACTGGTCTGTGACCGAAATAATAAAATTCAATTCAGTTGTGTTGTTGATATCTGCCAGTTAGCTGCAAATGAATGAATATTGTGGGACTCTCGACAAAGCATTATTGTTATTCCCCACTTCCTAATAGGAGTCAGCCCATCAGCCAGCCCTACCCTCTTCCAGCAGCCATTCCTACTTCCAGCAGTTTTCTTCCCTAACAGATAACACTCTATAGTTACTGAACATGCTTAGTTCTTCTCACTGGACTGGATTTTTGTTGTGGGGCGGGTTTTTCAGTTTTTCTTTGTTTTGCACTTCTGAAACAGTAAGATTCCACCAAGCATACCAATACCTTCCCTCTTGTTTCTCAAGTGGCTCCATTTTGGTGACAATCTCGTCGGCATTCACCACCTGAGCGTGCTCGCAGATGGAGTGCTGGTCCTGTTTTTCTGGAATTTGTTTTAAGTCTAGCATCGATGACTACCTCGAGAGTTTCATGTAGTATGGTTGCCTTTTTAATGGTGTTGTTGGCTAATGGCTATTTAAAGTTGTGACACATCTGGCATGAGAAAGAAGAGGAGCTAAAATCAGTGCTCTGTCTCCCTTCCTCTGTGAGTGTATTCTCAAGAGAGATGGAATATGGCAGCCTGAATATAACCAGCAAAAAGAAAGAACGTTTTGCAGCCAGCCAACAAGAAGGATCAAATGCAGAGCCTTGTGTTTGTGGAAACAATCCTGCTTTAAAAGCGAGGGTGCCTGGCGCTTTGCTGCTTCCTCTGTTCAATGTTGTATTATTAATAAGCAATCAGATATTACAAATCACTTCATAAGACTCCATTTCTTTCTCCTCACAAGGAAATTCATGCTGAAGAAGGCAGCCATAGGAGCTTCCTACCACGCAAGCTAGCAGACAGAAATAGCATGATGCAACCACCCAAACCAACTTTTGGTTTGTATGATAATTGGCCAAGGGTTTTATTTTTATTTATAATGTTACTAAATTCAAAACCTATAATGTAACATAATGTAAATAAAGTGATTAATTTATAGTATACTTTTATAATTTATAGCACTGGTTGTATGAATAGTTGCTCATGGATGTATACTCGCATATGTAAACTCCAAAGAGTAAAGATTTATAATTTTATGTAACATATAAGCTCTCTTTCGATGTTTGAGCTATCCTCTGGATATGCACACATCCCACCACACATCTGCAACATGCACAGAAACATTGCAGATGTGGCAACAGAATGTGTGCAAGATGGGAATGGATCCTTGTATCTCTCTGCCATATTCACATTAAGTAGGAGCAGTCCAGTGTCAGAAGGTATTACTACCTCTGACAATCAGATACTATCATTTGCAACAAATTCCATAGTCGGTGCTGCATACACTTACTTGAGAAATTCTGATAAAAGGGTAATCTGATAAATTGGGGGGAAGAGGGCTCCAAGCCACTTGGAGTAGCAGACAATTTGTTTTGTTTTTTTGAGGTGGTTGGATCAATAATCGCTTTCTGCTACTCCCCTTTTCATGCCCATTACTTCCTCAGTGATTTCATTTCTTTTACAGCTATGTGTGCACTTATTTACAGCACCCCCCGAACACAGGAACATAGTTTTATATATAAAGTTTTTCTTCTCATCCCTCAAATTTGCAAAAAAAGCAGAAAACTGAACAAGAAAACCACCTTACTTTTTTTTACACAAGATATTTCACAGCAATCTGAAAAGCATGTGCTGAGAATTTGCACTTGCCTGACTGTGTTCTTTTGTGCACTTCCTGGACAGCTTTGTTTTTTTTTAAAGAAACATGCACACACAACTTTCTGTGTGCATGCCTTGCCAAATAAGTATAACAGAATCAACAAATTAGAAGGCAGGGACAAACACAAGTGACATGCTGGTATGAACATAAAAGACCAAAGTTGCCCCTCAAATACAGATTTGAGTGGTATGGACTTCTCTGGGCTAATACGAAGGGAGGGGGGAGTGGATTGACAGCTAAACAATGCTTAATGTTGACAGGTCCTTGAACTGCTGTTTTGAAAAGGATGCAATATCATGGGAAGTCTCCTAATAAATCCCTGCAAGACATGCCTAAAAATTGCATGGACAACCCATCAGGGAAGAAAGGTGGAAGCAAAACTAAATATCCAGCAGTGGTAGAGCAGAGTAAAATATATTCTCCATCACCTCTCTCTCTTACACGCCGACACACACTTTTCTCAACCAGTTAACCAAGACTAAAGTGAGACTGCAAAGGAGGAATGGGCAAACTGTGGCTCTCCAGGTGTTCCATGAAGGATGACAACATTAGCCCTGCTGTGAGCGAATCTCTTGCAGATGATCGCAGTGCCTGGAGACAGACAGGTCATGTATCCACAGTAGCGACCAGAGGAGAAATGGCCGCAGGAGGGAGAACAGAGAGAAGAAACGCCATGGTGCACCTTTAACAGCAAAATTGGACGTCTTCATCTGCCCCAGCTGCAATAAAACATGTCTCTCCTGTATTGGTCTCTACAGCCTCATCAGGCTCTGTAACTTTCCAACAGTTTGACTTTACTCTTGATGGTACACTCTTTAGTTGTCTGTCAAGAAAGACAGATTCCAACAACAGCAAGGGGGTTGGACTAGATGGCTCTCCCTTCCAACCATACAATTCTGTGATGCCATGTGTTTTGAAGTTCTTTTTTAAATCAGCTCCATAAACTACCGTATTTCTCGCTCTATATGACGCACCAGACCATAAGACACACCTAGTTTTGGGAGGAGTTAAACAAGAAAAAAAATATTCTGAATCTCAGAAGCCAGAACAACAAGAGGGATCACTGCAGCGAAAGCAGCGATCCCTCTTGCTGTTCTGGCTTCTGGGATAGCTGTGCAGCCTGCATTTGCTCCATAAGACGAACACACATTTCCCCTTACTTTTTAGGAGGGAAAAAGTGAGTCTTATAGAACAAAAAATACGGTAATTAACATGAAAATGTCTTCGCATCATGCAGGGTTTTCAGTCCAGCTTTCTAGAAAACAGACAGAATTCAGGATAAAACAAAGGAACGAGCACTTCCATGCATCGTTCTCACTGCTCCTTCCCGCTGCAATTTCATGAGAGATGCATACTGAGCTTCATTTTTCAGAACTGATCTAATCTCTCACTTTTCCTCTTTGCGAGCCAATCTGTATTTAGAACATGTTTATCCATGTGAGTCAAGTCTCTTTAGAATGCTATCATTCATTACCTAACACATAAGAAGAAACATATGGATGGACTTGATCCCATCATGGAATGCTCTTTATTTTTAACAGAAATAATCTCCCCTTCCTTTTAGCTCATGTCGTGGAAAGGTTAGAAGACACCCCAGCCAGGAAGCTAGACAATAACTTTATTGCCTCTCTCAAATTTAAACAGACCAGCAATGGGAAAACCTCTGACCTTCCCCCCCCCCCCGCCGACAACAAAATCCAGTGCCACCTAGTGATTAAACTAAATGATGACACTGTCCCTACCCTCTATTGCATATCTATGAAAACAAGCTGTGTAATTGTGCAGACCTTGAAACCATTCAGAAGTATCAGCCTCAAGCCAGAGGAGCCATTCCAAGTGGCGCAATCAGCATTAACTAACCTTCTAGATATTTTATAGTCCCAAAGGGAGTTCTGAGCACATTAAATACATCAACATTACTCACTCTTTTCACTTTTGCTTGAGACACATTGCCAGAGAGTTCTTAAACTGCAAGCTGGGACACTTTTTCTTTTTCAGAGCTGCTTGACATGTGTTCAAACGTAATTAATTAAAACAACTGAAGGCACTTTTGGTTCTACATTTTGTGAAATCTGGATTTACCTGCTACTGAAAATACTAACTCCATGAAAACACCAGGTGCGCAGAGTCTAGAGGAACACACTTGTTGAGGCAGATGTTGAGGCAGTGAGGGGGGAAGAAATCTGAGAGGCCTGCTTAGAAACTCTTATTCTGGGTCTCTTCTGCTCTACTATGGATGTAAGGTTCACAGTTGGAAGCAATGGGTTCATGCTGACCGCGAGCAATGCCTTCTGAATTATATTTAAAAAGACCTAGCACAGTGCCCATAAATGTGGCCGGCAGAATGAGAGACGATTAGCAAGCTTTAGCTTCCCCTCAGCCAACTGCCCTAACTTACCTCCTTTGCCGGCTTCTCAAGATCAGGTTCTAATCAGCAGCACTGCCAGCATTTGAAGGCCACAGAAACTGACAGGAATTGGAAGGTGGCTGAGGAGCAGAGCTCCAGATCTGGCAGGGCATCTTCCCTGAGCAATGCCAGAGACTTCAGTGGCAAGCAAGAGCTTCTGCCAGTCCATAACTTGCCCACTGAGTTACTATGGCAGTGAGAAAATGATAGTGCGAGGAAGGGCTACTGAACAATCAATAATTCACTGTGTGGCCCGAGAAAA